TGATGCAGGACTGCTCACTGGTATCATACCACAGTCCAGACATTTCCTCTATATACTCCTGGACCTTTTCACCCACTCAGGAGTGAACAGGCAAAGAGAAGAGAGCTGGTCTACAAAAATAATAATGGTCCACATCTCAAAATCCTAACTACAAATCATCTCCCCGATCATAATTAAATGTATCAAAATTTAATAAGACTGGACACATTTAATTCTTTGTACTCCATAGATTAAAGAACAATGAGGAGGCTGGAAGCTGAAAAGTGGCTTAAGTTAAATTTACACAGTTGTGTGGACAAAATTCATTTGGCCACAGGAAAGCATTTATATGTTTAATATAGGATATTTTAAATAGGTTTATGCTGGCCTAAAAAATAGCATTTTGAAGAGATTATTATTGCAGTAAAATGCTTGCTATATACCTGAGTAATGAGACCACCAAATATAAAAAAACCCACATGCAAAATGTGCAGGCTCTTGGCCATTTCTCTCTCTCCCTCAAAATCCAAGTTGCAGGGCTTTAAGCCACCATATTCAAGTAAAACAAATTCAAACTATAATTTTCTAATATTTTATTTACAGTTAAATACAACACTGGCCAATGCTTACCAGGTTACAATGATGAATGTGTAATCTAATGCCCATTTGCCTTGATTTATACAAACCATCACATATCAGCCTCATGCATCCATCCATTTTAAGTCACTGGGAAGGATCATATTTTTCCTGATCTGAGTCAGTGTTAAGGCTGAACTTAGGCAGTTCATTTTTATTTGTTTGCATGAACCAGAATCAGTCTTTACACATGGTGGAAGATGCCTGGGGCTGCACAGTCCTCTGCAATCTCAGCAATTGGCCCTCTCATCCCATGTGATAGTTATGCGGAAAAAAAATAAGATCAACCAAATTTCCAACTGCCCTTCCAACGGTAGGAGAAACAGATTAGACTGTTCTTTACTTCTGAAGAAAGGGTCCCAAAAAGGTCAGTCTTTCATATGAAATACAGATCATTAACACTGGATATACAACTATTGTGATGCTCCTTTTTGTTTATACAACTGGGATTTGATTGTACCCATTTCAGGAGGTTCTATACTTTATATATGTGGCCTTTAAGGTCCCTTCCAAACCATTCTATGATTCTAAAAATGCCCCAATCCTTTTATATAATACTCCTTGTCTGCAAATAAAGCTCACTAATTAATTATGATTTTTATTAACAACACAATAGTTTTGTGTTGAGTAGAAAGGCTGAATGAAACCACATCTGCTTTCATGCAAACTCTCCTATCATGCGAGTTAGATGCAAACACAAAACGTAATAGAACAACAGACTGCTCATTCCTGAAAGTGTCCAAATTCCAATTAGAATAAAATGATAGAATTCTCAAGTATCTGAAAAGACACTACATTAAATGATAAGAATTCCAAGGTCAAACACCCACTTTGAGAAGTGCTTTAGCCTGGTTTGCACTCACCCTTTTTTTTCAGAGACTAACTGCAGAAACAGTACCCAAACAATTATAATTGGTGACCTTTTCACATAAATGATAATTTCTTAGGCTCATTCTTTTATATTCCATCCCATATTCTTCCAAATAAAAGCTGCCCAAAAATACTTTGCATGAAAATCTAAATGTTCCCAGTGACAACTCTGATCAAGTCACTCTTTGCACATGAACACTGAAAGATGCAACAACAGCAAGAACCACTAGTTATTCTTATAACTTCAAGACTAAACCCTAAATATAGTATGTTTTCAAAACCTCTTTCCTAAAATTCAAGTAATATGTTCATCGCTTTAACTGAAAGCTAACAAAGTACAACTTGTATTGTGCTGCAGGCCATAAAGGGAATGTTCTTTATTTGAGTCATGGTTGGATGAGGATGAAAAGTAGTTTTTGAAAATTTACAACAGTTTTGACACTAGTGTGCGTTTATCATTGCAAGTTATCCCTCTCTATTTATCAGACTGACTCTAGACCTTTCACTACCTTCATAAAGGCAATTTTTATCAATTCTTCATGTCATTACAGCTAACTATAGGAAACTGCATAGAATACACAGAAAATCCATAGCTCAGAAAGAACAGGGATAAGAGAAAGACCCCAGTGTCTGCTTCAGGAAAGCAAGAGAGGCTATGGTTTAAAAGGAACATTTAGTAATTCATTTGCCTCTAGCATAGCACTCAAGTGACATTTTGCTATCATTTACCTATCCTGAGTAACCATTCTGCCACATAAAAAATGTTCCCAAGGAAAAGGAACTTAAAATTAATGGAAGCCCCTTCTCCTCCACCCTAAACTGACACATTACCAGCACTGCTTCCAGTATTTCACAGCAGAGAGCTGTACTTTGCTTGTGAATCCCATGGAAATCTTTATTACTTTACCCCAACCAAAGCTTTATTCAAAATAAAACTGTTCTTAATTTCTGGAGAGTATTTGGGAGGCTTGGATTCATACAGAACAGGTGGTGCTTACCTGCCTGTGGCAGCCCTTGTTAGTTTTGTAAATTGAGACACTGGGTTTACAGTTAGAAAAATGAACTCTCGATTATGGAGCAATTTCAGTACCTAATCTTCTAAATTTGACTTTCTGAAAGATGAGTTACCGGCCCTCACATCAGTCTTTACTGACTGCACCAAGACGCAAATACAGGTCTACAACACACCTACATTATTTATTGCAGGGCAAACACCAGCCTGCAGGAAAAATCCCTGGCACCAGCCTCTTCAGGTGCCTCCAGGAGCCACCACAACTACCAGGAATTTTTTTAACAGAACCTCAAAGGGCAAGGAGAGACTATACAGCTGATTCTGGAGCTTCCCAAACAACCCCAGGATGCTAAAGCAGAGGTAGAAAAGTAGATAGCCTGTCCAACATGCAGCAAAGCCTTGCAGGAGCAAATAGAATCCTAACCTTTCTGCAAGGTGCCACAGTTCCAACTTACAGGTAAGGCAGCATCAGAGACAAGTGACTGCTGCAGTTTTCAAAGACTTGAGACTTAAAGGCTTGCTAGCAAAACATTTTTCTCCCCTTTTGTTATCAGATACAGTTTTCTGTGGGATAACACAGCTTCCAACTTAGGTGATCCTTCAAGGGACTTAGGGAGCACCTGGAGATCTTGCAAGATTCTAGACAGTAACACCAGGGCATGAAACACCTACACTGCAATAAGATCACCTCAAACAAGATGTCCTTGGACATATAATTAAATGTCCCATTAATTTTTTTGCACATGTGTACAAAGACTTTGTGTGCCTACTTAAAATCTCAGCAATTAAAGCTGACACGAGCTACAACACAGCATTTTTCTACCTATGAGAAAGAATCAAATCCGTGTTTCTGTAACTTCTTTTCCCAAAATTTAAAAGGCTTTCTGTACACCTTCTTTGTGAAAGAAGCTGAATAATAATTACCTCATCACAACATTTAACAAACACTTGTCACTATGCACTGCTGACAAAGAAGAATCACTAAAACTTTTCCTCTCAAAGCAAGACAGAAGCAAAGACTTAGTCAGTTCTTCACATAACAGAAGTTTGCTGAGCAGTTTACCAAAAAACCAAGATATATTATTTCTCAAAGCAAAATAACACATTGCACTTGGAAGATGTGTGCTCTCCATACTGAACAACACCTGTTACATACCTGAAGGGGTTTCTTGAGCAAGCCAAGTCTCCCCAGGTGGTAATTACACTGATCAAATCATCCCCACACATGTTGTAAAAATGGAAAGCAAGAAGAAAAGGTAGTCTTAACAGATCAACAGCTTCTTCTGATTTCATGCAGCACACAAAAAGAATAAACATGGAAAATTCTGGCAATGCATTAAGGCAATTCTTACACCCAAACAATTTGATAATATAACATTATGAACCAAGCCAGTTTTTTTTTTTTTTCATAAATAATGATCTAAACAGAATACTAGTCAATTCACTAAAAGATATCAAAGATATCCTTTTATTACAAATGATCCAAGTATCCCCCTTGAGGCTATGGCTATCAGCAAGCATTTAGCTGGCTCTCCAGCCAATAATTTTCAGATCTGTTTTATTATGAAACTGTAACACATTTTCAATAACTTTTAGCTTTGCTATACACAGCAACAAATAATTTCCCAGAACCCTTTGGAAAATCTGACACACAAAATGATTCTCTAGTCAACTTGTGTATTATTAAGCTGAAAAAACCTCACATATATCGGATCATTTGATCACTGGAGAGAATGGCAAAGTATTGGGAGCTTCAGGACAGATGGACGAACTTCAGGTCATATAAAACACTACCAAGGCTGTATTTGAAGAAAAATGTGAAAGTTTGTGAAAGCGCCCCGGGTGAAAATACTTTGTGTTGCTAAGAAACATCATCCCTGATGATGGATGAATTAAATTGTCTCAGTTAGCAGAGCCAACTCCAGGCATCCCTCGTTTATTAAGAGAATGTTTTCTCATACTGGTAATTTATTTCAACAGCTATGTACAAATAAAAAGCCCTACCTTAAAATGAAACAGAATTTCAAACTTGCATAATTAATGCTACAAAACAATAGAGTTTACATCTTGATCAGAATTTAATAACTAACATTTCACAATGTAAACTCTAAAAATGAATATTAATACATCCAGACTATTAAGAACGTATTTTAGGATTGTCTGCAGTGAAATATACTGTTCAACTCCCAAAATTACTCCATGGACAAGTGAGTGAAGTACAAAAGTCTTCAAATATTTCTAAGCACCGAACATTATCAATATTCAGGTAATCAAATTTTAAATATCACTGACAGAAAACTGCATTCGTCACAATAACAAAAACAAAATATGCATGAAAGAAATCATGCAAACCACCCACTTTGGTTATGTGGACATTGTCTTAATTTTGCATCTAGTTACTTTTTTAATATCTTATTCACTGTTTCTCTTGCAGGACAGATTGGTGAACTTAGGGCAGTGAATCTTTGCTTTTCTGAAGTGTTTGCTGTTGAACGGATCATACCTGCTTTTCCCACTGTGCACTGCATTCAGTGAAGTCCTTCCAAAGGTACAGATGAAACAGGGGAAGGCCTCCAGCTTCTCTCTTCACACCAGCTGCACATCAGGCCAGAGGAGCTTCAGCTGAAAGGAAAAAGAACAGCAAGCACATCTCACCTGGCACAGCCTTCAGAGCAGGACACAACAACAGAGGAGAAGCACAGTGGTGGGGAGCCCCAGTATAAGAACAGTCCCAAGGTCGGGAAGTAGCCCCATGACTGCTGCTCAGAGATGGGGGAAAGGTCAGGGCTTCCTTCACAACCCAGACAGGAATATGCACAATTTTATGCCACCCAGAAACCAACACAGTTGTTGCACTGAAAACAAACCAAATGTAAAGACCCATTTTCCAAGAACACAGCTGGCAAAGGGGAAAGTCATTAAAGAAAATGAATCTTCATTTGTCTGATGCCAAGGCTTTGGGGTTTTTCTTCCTAGTTACTAGATTGTGTTCTAATGGAGATTTCAAGTTAGAAATCCCAAATTTTAGGCCTACAGAGTCCAATTTAAGGAAAAAGGTGGAAAACCCTCTATAAACTGCTCTTTGGATCGTATCACAGCTACCAAGTCAGAAATTACCACACACAGCTACATGCCAGTAATGTGCTCAGCTAGTCAATACGCAGAGGCAGCCACAGAGGCTCTTCATCCCAAATAACCCCACCACGGAGCAGAGTTACCACTGGAGAGCCCAAGGAGAAGTATTTAACAATGATTCCAATTTGGCTGTGCTAGAGGAGATGCGTTTCCTGTGGGCCTAATAAGGAAGAGCTTTACAATCTGAGCAGAAGCCTTTCAAAGCCTCAGAGGACATGTCTTATCTGCACCACTTCTGCTCCTGGAATCCCAGAAATCCTGAAGACAGAAGGCAGATCAGACTGCAGCTTTCCTAGGCACAGATGTTGCAATCACATCTGCCTTAACTCTAAGCCAGAGTCCTTGTGTCTTCCCAACTCTGTCAGCATCTCTTAGTTGCTTTGGTGTTGGAAATGACAGGGCAAAGGATAAAAAAAGTGTTTCTGATCACATCAGGTGTAGTTAAACACCAAAATAAAAGAAAAACATCTGCAGATTATACTCCAAGCCAGCAGCAAGAAAGAAAAGGTTTTGAAGCACAGCATTTCTTGTCTACATGTTTCACAAAATAGCACTTCAAATCTTGAGATCTGATTGATCAAAGCTGTTTTTTTTTTTTAAGTGTTGATCTAGCAGCCATGAAGAATGACCATTTGTGGGTCAGACATTGAAGTATAATTAAAGATTTTACACACCACTCAGAAACTGAGTCACCCATGGGTTCATATCCATGTAAACATTCTCCAAGCTTTTTTCAACTCATTAAAAATCCTCCCCCTAAACATCTATAGCTACAAGATGTCAGATTTGATTTGTCCCATTTCAGGTTGCTCAATGCAAGACAGACACAGAAAAAACCAAGACCAGCAATGGCTCCAAAGACAACGAGGAAATCAAAGCACAACACAACTCTTCTGTGACTCCAACACCAAAGGCTGGGTCCTGCAACAAAGTACAGGTTGCAGGACTCTGAATATAATAAGCTTCCTCTTGGCATTTTCAGTGCAGGATTATTTAATGTTTTTCTTTATTACATAGATGATGAACAATATAGTTGCAAAATTTGGTAGTTACCTGGGAAATGCTGCAAGCATTCTGGGAAACAGAATTGAGAAAAGTGGGACTAAGGGATTAACAACAAAACTGAAACTGGTGTTTTAATACTGAACTGAATGCCAAAACTGAAAAATATTTCCAATTTATAATAATGATAGCAGCATCATATGAAAAAGAAGGTAAGATTTATTCTGTTCATCACTGATCTTAAGGTTGTACATTACACTCAGGTTTCAATACAGATGTATGAAACCAGCTAAAACGAAAACCTAAGCAATCTGGGAAAGTTAAACACTGAGTACAAAAATAAAAAGGTGAAGAAAGATGAGACAAGGTTAACAGCAGCTACAAGAATCATGCCCTACTACTGAAATATCCACTGCAGAAAAAAAAAAATGCTTAACAGGTTAGGGAAAAAATTAGAATAGTATCAGAGGAAATATGCTACCTCTAGGGATAGTTAAACAAGGGATTAGGTTATGGAAGGGTTATACAAATCTCCACTGATTGTTTTTAAGACCTGGTAAGAAGAACACGCCAGGAATGGCCCGTACATCACTCTCTGGCCTGACACTGAACTACACACTCACACATCCAGTACAGGGCCTCAGCACAGAGCAGTGACCTCCCCAGATCCCCGTTTTCTTTCCTAAACTTAAAGGCTGCACAAGTTTAGGCTCCTGCCAGGCAACTCAGCAGGTGACTTGACTGCTCCTTAGAGCTCTGAGCAGGCTTTTGATAGCTTTCTTTTCTAAATAGTCCAGGCAGGCTGTGATTGACAATTTTCTCTCACATGAAGCAGACTACCTTAAGTGTGGAGTACTCTGAATGATCCACCAGGGAAATAAAGTCAAAGTACAGAGAAGGCAATGGCAACTGATCCCAGGAATCCAGTCCTGGGAAGGAAATCACAACTGCCAAACTGGGCAAGGATGCACATCCCATTAGTACCTAGAAATACAGACAGTTAGATTTTCTTTTCTAGCGCCTCCAATAAATAAGTCTTAATAAAAAGAAGTATTTAACAAAGTACTTAGAGAAATGAAGAGGGAAGGTTTGACATACCTAAGCTTATTTTCACAGCAGTATGAAAGGAAATGAGGTAGAGTCAGAGCTAATTCTCCTTATATAATTTCACATGGAATGATTAGTTCTGCCCCAACAGTAACAGCTTTCCAGAGGGTCCTACTTGTAGCCAAGATTGCATACAGATGCTCTAAGTGTAGCTTCCTTATTCTCCGCTGACAACCAACTTAAAAGGCCAATATAATATTCATTTTACTATAGAATGAAATTCACAGCGTGAATAGTAAAATAATGTCAGAACTACCATGAAACTACAGTGGCATGTTGGAGGCTGTGACTTTTAAAAGTTTAATCACAAAATGGATTCATGGAGAGGAGTGTACAGAGCAGCCTTGTGCTTCAGCGACATCCCATTGCCACTGAGGATGCCCAAGAGCTGTGGCTGGACAAGGAGAGGGCAAAGGCACAGAGGAGCATTCGTGTCACATGCCCTGCTGAATATTTTCCTTTAGAAGGCAGATTTCAATCATTACTGGGCTAATGCCCCCCCTCTATTAAGCCTGATTAGGACAGACATTCCACATGCTGAAGGTGCTAGAATTCCTGAGTCACCTGGGTTGCTTCTGGGTGAAATACCCATTACTGGGAATTCAGCTCAACCAGGCCCATAAAAAGAAAGCCCTGAAAGACATCCCTCAGCCCAATGCTGAACATATCACACGGATAATCCTAAAACTCCTTGGAAAAAAAAAAAAAAAAAAAAAAAAAAAAAAAAAAAAAAAAAAAAAAAAAAAAAAAAAAAAAAAAAAAAAAAAAAAAAAAAACAAACAAACAAAACCAAAAAAACCCTGCAATAGGTATCAGTACTCTTATAAAGCACTGCAGTGCTTTGTGTTTAATCTTTGAATAGACAGTAGTAGAAAAGCCATACTCAATTCCAAAGTTTCTACTGCAAATTCCAGCTCAGCTGCTATTATTCCTGGTTTTTAAAGGATATATACATTTCATATATGCATAATAGTAAATTTAACTGTCAATGAAAAATTTAAGTCACATGCCAAAACAGCATGCAAAATAATAGCATACAAACTTTAAATGTGTGTATTTTGCAGTTTTTAGCACATCCATTTGTTTTACAAAAGACCTGTAGATTAAATACAAAATACACTATTAGTTTTAGGCACAAGAGCAACCAATTTTTTATGCCTTGCCTGAAATAATGAGTAATTAGGCCAACACCACCCTGCAGTCATTTCCATAAATCTTGCCTTTACATTCAAATCACAAGAAGAAAACTGACTTAACAACAAGAGCATATTTCTCATTAAAGTTTTCTTAAAGCAAGATCAGGACAAGAAATTATTCTGCAAAGTCAACAAGCTTATGTTATTGTTTATTTGGAAAACTTTAACTCAGACCAAACAAGAAGTTGCACTCAGAAATTTGCTGTATTAAACTGCAATCAGCCAGGGAAAACTTTCAACTGGGAAATCTTAAAACAGAATTTCACAGAATCTTGATAGATTTGTTATTTAGCAAAGTCATCTCACTGAATATTGCTTGTGTAAACCTTTTAAAATAACCAGAATATAAAAGATGTAGTATGTTCAACTACTTGTTGAATTTTTTATTTTGGACACATTCATATTTAAGGTAAATATTAAAGCAGAAAGATACATAGGAAATACAATTCAGATTAAATGAGGAGCTGTACTTCAATTAAGATTTTTGTTTTAAAATGATGCTAATTATCGTGCTTCTGAGAAATCACTTAATTATATATACTAGGCAAGATACTAATAAAAACACTTTATTTTCATAATGCAACAGGGACTTTATTTCTATTTTATTTACAAAGGTGTCACCTGGTAAATAAACACCAATGCAACAGAATCAAAATTTATAGAGGCACATACTCCCCAGTAAATTTATTAACACACAACTCTGAGGTTAGCTTTTGTTCCTACCCCAAAACTGATTGGAAAGAACAGGAAAAAGTGAGATATTTTTCTAAGAGGTGGTCTAGAAATGGAGCAAAGCCACACCACCACTGCTCTGGCTAATCATCCATTCCAAGTTTTAAGCTTTCCCAACCATTTCCTTTTGCATGTACACACAATGGTTTGTGATATTCTGGAAGCTCTTCCCTACAATGACTTTACAACAGGTCTGTTTCTAATATGTGTATTTTATTAAGCTTTAGGAGGATTAACCAAGATCCTCAGTTCTTGAGGAAAATAAGGCATGGCAACAGCGAAATCTCCAGTCTTCATTCCAACACACTTGACTGCTGAATGCTGCCAGGGTGAGTCATGTCCACTATGGGACATGGATCCCATCCCAAAAAGGAATAAAACACTGCATCATATTAAATCTGCATCCAATTACTTAGGTGTGAACTCAAAGGGTGTGTTTTTATCTCAATGAC